GCTCGGTGGCCGTCCCTCCCTTGAGCGGTGTCCCTGCTCTGTCCCGCAGGAGTGGACGGCTCCATGTTCGAGGTGCTGCCGCAGGGCTCGGACCTGCCGGAGCTGCAGCGCTGCCGGCTGTGCCCCGACCGCTGGAAGCCCTGCATCTGCAGCTACTCGCTGAGCATCGAGTGGTACCCCTGCATGCTCAAGTACTGCAAGAGCCGGGACGCCGGGGGCAAGGTCTCCTCCTACAAGTGCGGCATCCGCAGCTGCCAGAAGGGCTACACCTTCGACTACTACGTGCCGCAGAAGCAGCTCTGCCTCTGGGACGAGGAGACTTAGCTTTCCAAGGCTTTTCCGAGGGGCAGCTCGTCTCCTGCCGCTCTTCGCGATGCCAAGGGCTCCTGGAGCTGGCTGCTCCGAGGAAGGAATGCTGTTCACGGTGGTGCCTTGTGCCACAGGAGAGCTCTGTGTGCCTTTCCTTCCGGCCTCCTGCGACTCCCTCCCCGCCCGCCGCTGCCTCATCCTGTGGCAGGCAGGCTCAGCTCGCCGTGTGGGATGCTCTCCTGCCAGCTGCCAGAAATCCAGCTCCCTGGAAGCGGGGGATGCAGGTTTTTTTGGGGGTGAGGCACTGGCAAGGGGATGTGTTGCCCTGCTCTGGAGCGAAAGGGGCAGCTCTGAGCAGTCCCCAGCCTCGAGCTGCGCGCTCAGGGCAGGGAGAGAAATGCTCTTGCTGACCCGGGTTGTCAAACGTCTCTACCACTGAAGAACTCCCTTTGCTGACTTCACCACCTCCTGGTGACACAGCAGCCTTGCCCAGCGGGAAGACAGCTGATTTTTGGGACCACATCCCCTGAGCAAGGAAGGTACGAAGCCCACCCAAAGCAAGAGCCTGCCTTGTAGCTTTCTCTAGTGCCCTGCTGGCTGTTCTGTCCCTCCTGTGGCCAGAGATTTATTGGGGGGATATATCCCAGCAGGGGCTGATAATTAGGGCTCTAATTAACCCCTGTGTAGACTAGTGAAGGCCCAACTTTCTGTGCTGGTCCTGTGACTCCTCCACTAAGCAAGAAGCATCCAGAGACCTGTGACTACCATCCTAACACTGCGGTTGCAAGGGGAGAGGATGATCCCAGGTGGGTTCTGAAGGAGACAACATTCTACATCTACGTCCAGTTTTTATGTCCTACTCTGCCAGCTATTCACAAGAAGCTCTTAAATAATTGTACTGCTTTGCTGTGCCTTGATTTCCCCCCACATGATAAAGAGGGATGACACTGAAGCTGACCTTGGCCCTGGTATGTACCTGGAGGGATCAGACAAAAAGCACTGTAGCAGTGCTGCCTCAAGTTAGAACAAGGAGGGAGGGGAAAGAAACTCTTGGGGTCTTTGGGACCCCCCTGTGCCTCCTGGTGAAAAGCCTTCACAACGTGCCTTTTTGCCAAAAATACAGGAATTTTTGACAAAAAATAAAAATTTGGTCACAATTATTTTTGTATCGATCACTTAAAGGGGGGAGAAGGGAAAGGTATTTTAATATTGGAACATGAAGTAAAACACACTTGAAATGATTTTTTTTTTTAAACAAATTATTTATCGTTTGTAAGGTAAAATAAACTGATTTTTTTTTTAAAGCATCCTAGGCCTAAAAGTTTCTCTGTGCATGAAACTGTCTGTGGGTTTGTCCCATCCAGTTTGGGTTCTTAAGAATGGGTAAGTCTCAAACCTCTACCTCTTGCAGACCCACGGACTCGGGGAGAACATCCTGCCCTCAGCATGACCAGGAATTTTTGACACTCAGCCAACGTGATCCTGCATCTCAAACATTCCATGCTTTCAGCCTCTGGACAGGGAGACAAGTTTGACTCATCCCAAGCAAGTGTGGGAGCTTTGAGCTGAGCTCTGGTGACTAAAAGACCAGCAGGTCCTGGGGTTACAAGGGCTGGTTCCTGCTCCTCTCTCCAAGTGGTCCCATGGGGGGACAGGCTGGAGGCTTGTCTGGGTCCTGCAGCCTCCACAAGGTATTCCTTGTGAATTCCTCTGCAGGCACAGCTGAGGAGAAGGGAGGGAGGCAATTTTGGGCCAGCTCGGAGCTCTCAGGGGCTGGAGGGAGAAATGTGGAGCACTGATTCCCTCTAGTGTGGAGAATGCAGGGCTGGGACGAGGATTCCAGCCCTTCCCCGCTTCACCCGCCGAGGCAATTTACCCTTCCCTGGGATTTCCGGGGAAGGTGAAGTTATTTCTGTTTCACTGGCGTGGTCAGCACTGACAGGGATTTGTCCCTGGGTCTGCAGGACACCGTGGGATTTGTCCCTGTTGCCGAGTTAAACCCAACTGTGGGGGCAGGTGGGCTGTGAGAGGGTGGGAGGGGGTTATGGGCTGTCCTGTGTAGCCCATTCCCACCACTCCCTGCTGTGCAGGGATGCTGGGACGGACACAGGGAGCGTCGGGTCAGATCCCTGCGAGCTTCCATGTGCTGATTTTGTGGCTGGGAGGCTCTGGGGTACCTGGAACCTGGTGCAGGATCCTCAGCCTCCACCAGTGGGTGCTGGCGGAGCGCGGCTGTGCCCGGCCCAGGGAGGGCTGTGCGGGACAGGGATGCTCGCGGTCCAGCAGCACATCCCGCAGGATCACGCTCTCCCCCAGCCCTGCCAGAGGAGAACTGAAGCTCCTTTGCTTCCCCCAAGAAGAGTCCTTCTTGATATACTTAAATAACACCCCGGAGAGCAGGTGGTGCAGGTGGAGACAGGAAACCTCCCCGGTGCAGTTGGCCACGGGCATGTGGGGGATTTTGTAACATCTCTCTCCAGTCCAAAGGCCATACCCCATAAATCAAATGCTATCTCCAGGGCTTATCTTCCCCCAAGAGGGGAATAAACATTGGCAGCAGGACTGGAGGAGCACAGCGAGGATGAGAGCAGGAGGATCATTCACTGATGGCCATGGAAAAGAGGGGCAGCGTGTCTGCTGACAGCCAGGGGTGATCATCTCAGGTGGGGTACAAGCAAATCTGCTTTTGCTTGGTTAAGGGGATTTTATTTCAAGTGCTGATGCTGTGATCCATCCCCTATTTTTAATAAGGAGGATGAATTCTCTCTTGCCTGCACAGCACATCCCCAAAGCCCAGGGTGTCCAGGTGATGGGCTTTGCTCCCATGGCTGTTTGGGGAGAAAAAATACGGAAATACTATTTCCCCCGCTGTTTCATTGACCACTAAAAAAAAAAAAAAGTCACTCACAGCTTTGTTTGGGGCCAGGAGAGGGCACTGGTGCCCTGTCCGTGGCCAGGACAGCTTCCCTGCCAGGAGGATGCCCAGGATTCCTGTCCAGCTGGAGATGCCACCTGGAAGAAACTGCCTCCCTGGGGCTGCAGGACAGGCTGCTCGGCTCTAGAGGAAGGAAAAACAGAGAGAAAAGCCTGGTGTCGGGTAAACCTCCTGATCCATGTCCAAAAGGTGCTGTGATGTGGGAGAAGGAGAGTTCTCGTGGTCCCCAACCTCTCAAGCTGGCCTGGAGCCACCAGCGGGCTCGTGTTTGACGCAGTGAAGACACCTGATCGCCTCGGCCTCCGGGATGGGGAAAACCCAGACAAAAACACTAGAAAACGGAGCAGCAGCTGCCCAGGAACGCCCCAGGGCTCAGGGCCTGAATGGCTGGAGCTGGGGATCGGTGGCAGGAGTCCAGCCCCTCCAGCAGCTCCACAGGAGCTGCCTGTGCCAAGCACCCCGTGTCACCTCGCCGCTTCCTGGAGCAGAAATCTCCAGTCCTGACAATGTCAGTCTGACCTGGGAACTTCCCCTCTCCCACCTCTTCCCCCAGCTTCCCTCCACGTTTTCCTTGTTGGAGCTTCGTTGAAGTCACCCACCCTTTCCTCCCAAGAGCGTGTCCTCTCCCGAGGATGGGGGTCCCTGCTCCAAGGGCAGCTCCAGCCCCCTGACTCCGGACTGGGTTGGAGGTGAGGCTGGAGATCCTGCCCGCCCACCCATCTCTTCGGAGAAACCTGTCTTTCCAGGGAGGCAGAGCAGCATGTGGGAAAGCCGGGAGCCCTGGAACGTGAATTACCCAGGGAGAGATGAATGTGCGATAGCTTGTACCTGGCAGCTACCGATTGAGCGTTAACGCTTTCAGGAGGGGGCTGAGGCAGCGCTGGGCCTCGGGCTGTCACAGGGATGTCCAGGCTGTCACCGGGATGTCCTGCTGCTCTGGGGGGTGGTGGGGTCACCAAGGTGGCACATGGTGACACCTGGGGCCATCGGGGTGACTCGGTCCCTTTCACAGCGCGGAGCTGGGGCTCTGGCAGCTTCCGACAGAAGCAGCCAACATTAGGCAATCTTTTTTTTTTTACCTGTCTTCCCTGGAAGTTGGTAAATACTGCAGCTTTAAACAACGTGGATGAGGAGGAAGAGCTGTCTGCTACTTCTCCCCTCTTCCTAGGAACACAGATGTGCCCTAGAGAGCCTGTGTCAGGGGAGGGAGTCTCCATGTGCCAATCCTGACCCTGTCCCGTATCTTTAGCTGAGGCAGGTTCCATTTCTGCTTTTAACTTTCCTTTGTGTCCCATGTGGCCTCATTGAGGTTCAGGGCAGACTGAGGGGATGCAAAAAACTCGACAGCACAGGCTGGACCACCCTGAGCAGACCCCAGGGTTATCAGCGGCCAAAACGAAGTGCTCGCCGGAGGGGCCGTTCCCGCAGCTCCAACACCTTCCCTCCGGGCTGCTGGTGCTGCTGCCCAGCCTGGCTCGATGCCTCGGCCTCTCCTACCTGTGCACGGCAAAGGGCAGAGCCAAAAGCTCATCCGTGGGGACGGCTGGGAGGTGGGGCAGCCGGCAGAGCCCCCCGCTCTCTCAGCCCAGCAGGCAGGTGCTGCGGGTGCATCCGCGCAGCCGAGGGCGGGCAAACCCAACCCGCCTTTCCTTCCTCTCTCCTCTCCCTCCTTCCCACCCCACCCCACGCCCTGGCAGCGCTGCAGGGACTCATCCATCCATTCCCGAGTTACTAATATGCAAATGGGCGCTTTTGCATGGGCCTGACGCCAAGCTGCTGGGTGTCAGGGCACCCGAGGGAGCCGGAGGTGGGGCGAGGCGTGGCACCGCGCCGCATGCTCACCTGGCCCTGCATGGCAACAGGCAATGGAGCTCTAGGTCCCTTCGGGAGCGGACCCACGCCCGGTTCGAGAGGCAGCGGGTGGCAAGGGAGGGAGGGCAAACTGGCAGCCCCTGGCAACCTGGGGCTGACGGCAGGAGGCTGGGCACACCGCGGATTTCCCTCCGCCAGCAGGATGGTGAACCTGGAGTCTGTGCACGCAGGTAAAGGGCGCTCGAGGAAGGACCGGGCTGGAGCTCGCCGCGTAGCTGGGACCGTGGGCTCGGGGAGGAAATGGGGTTGCTCTGATTCCTGCCACCTTTCCTCCCTTCTTTCCCTCCTGTTTTCTCCCGCTGGAGCGCCTGGTGAAGTGCCCACATTCCTAGCTGGGGATGGATGCTGCCCCGGTTTATTTAGGGGGCTGCCAAGCCATGCCCACAGTGTGGGCGCAGTGCTCCCGCTGCCAGCCCCGACGTGGGGCTGGCAGAAAGCTTAGAAACGGCTTGGGAAATGAGTGTTTAGTGGGACCTGTGGGTCCTGCCATTGGGATAGAGCTGGGAGGAGTGAGAGGGGATAAATTCTCGGAGGGATGCAGCAAGGGTGAAGGGAGGTGTGTGTGTGTGTGAGAGAGAGATGGGACACGGGTTGGAAGGAGAAAAGTTAATGGCAAAGAGGGAAAAGGAGGGAGAAATGAATGAGGAGGGAGCTGTGGGAGGCTGGGTTGGGTGAGGAATGAATGAACAGGGATACTCAGAGAGACTCCTTCCAGAGGGGCTGATGCAGAGATAGTCTCACCTTGTCTCTGAGCAGACCTTGCTCTGCAGTTAGCTGGGCAATCCCTGCCAAATCCCTGGGAGCTGTGCTCAGCTCCAGCTCACCCTGACAGAGCTTCTGCCCTCAGCTCAAGCCCCTGAGCCCGAGGGGAGGGACCACATCCCTGGGCACACGGAGCTGAGGGCAAGGCTGGAGTGGGAGCAGCCAGATCCCGACAGCCCTGCCTGTGGCAGGGGCAGGCAGGAGGCTGTTGGGGTGCAGGAGCCACGTGCCCTGCTAGTGACCTGTGTCTGGTGCTTTGTGCAGCACAAAAGGCTCTGTTGGCCCCCAGATTGGAGGGTTGGGGAGGGTTCATCCATCAGTCTTGTCCAAGGCTCATTCCCTTGGGTGCCTATGGGCATGCTGTGGGTGCTGGGAGTCCTGCTGTGCAGGGAGAGCTGGGGAGGGTCTGTGCTCAGGGCTTGTAGCCCCTCAACAAGCCCTGCCTGCCTGTGGGCTCGCAGACAGGCCTGAGGGCAAGGCAGATGGTGCAGCAATGCCACCGCCTGCCACAGGTCAGGCTGGCAGAGGTGGCCAAAGCCTCTGCTCCAGGGCTGTTTCCAACCTCTCCAGAGCTCTGGGATGCCCACAAGCCCCTCTTCCCTCACAAAAAGATTCCCCAGATCGATACTGTGCCCTCTGCCAGAGCCAGGGGCATCACTCCCAGGGTGGGTTTGGCCAGGAGCTGCGCAGGGCTGGGTTCCATCCCCCCCGTGCTATCGAAGCTTTTCCCTTTGTGCAGGGAGGGAGCCCAACACAGGTGGGAAGGGGTTTTTTTTCACCCTTGTGCAAAGGCAGTTTAGTATATTCAGCTCTGGGGGCCCCCAAAACCTCAGGGTCCCTTTGTACCAAGCTGCTGGCAGAGGTGTGCTCCCATTTTAACGTGGTCTTTTCCAACCTCAGTGATTCTGTGGGAAGACACACAGAGTGCCAGGTGAGGGTGGGCTGCTCTGGCTCTGCACACCCTCCTCCCTGCTGAGAGAATTCCCTGGTGGGTACCACCATTTTGGATATTTCCCCTTTCCTGCAGCTTCCAGAGGGGCTCAGGCACCTAAAGCACAGAGCACTCAGCAGATTCCAGGTGATGGTCCCCCTCCTCCACCGCCGGATTTCAGTTTTAAAGTCATCAGGCTGGTTTACCCTTGCCCATGTCTGAACAGCTACGAGGAACAAGGGCTTGGGAAAGGCTTTATTTGCTGACACCGTTTGTTTCAGCAAAAATATAGATGCAGATATATCCCCAGAGAAGTGTCTGCACTGGTAGAGCTCCTTTGGTCTGGGTGAACAAACCAGCTACCCCTACTCCAGGTATGTTTGGGAGCTGAGGTGCAGCAGCACATTTTTAATATGGCCCAGGCCGCAGTGGCGGCTCCTAATAGGGCTGTGGTTTAGGATTAGGCAGTCCTAAGTTGTGTTATTTTTCCCAGAGAGGTTTGCTGGTTATTTTTTTTTTTCCCTAGCCTGCTTATTCTCTGTGCCTTGCTAACCTGGCAAAGCTGTGTGCAGTTGGACTCAGTCTCACAGCCTGCCTTGTCTCTGAGGGACTTTTCTTTTTGGATGGAGCAGAGGTCAAACCTAGATTTGCATCACTCTGTCCTGGTTATAGTGGGAGACCCTTAAATGTCAATAAAAAAGGTGTTGGCTACACTTCTATCATATTAGAAAGTGATTCCTCTGTATGTCTGCTGCTTGTTCTTAAGGATCATGGGAGGATGATCCACAGCCAGCCCCAAACCTCTCAGATCAGTAGGTTTCGATAAAAAAGATTTTCCTTTTCTTCCTTCTCTTTTTTTTTTTGTTTGTTTGTTTTTTCCCCCCACAAGATATTTAAACAGCAGTAACTTGTGCACGTTTCTGATGGGCATTTGAATCTTGGTGAAAATCAACTCCTGGTGCTGTTTTCACGGGGATCTCAGGGCATCTCAGTCATCTCCCGGCTCCGGGAGGAGGGGAGCTCACTGATGGATAACATGTGACATTGTATTCAAGTTGCAGCAGCAATTCCTCCTTCCCTCCCCACCCACCCCAGGTTATGATGGCTGAGGGGGTGGGGGATCACTCCTGCAGGAGGGACAGAGCTTCTCGTGCTTTGCTTTTTCTTCCCTCCCTCAGCTCTGTCTGAGCTCTTCCAGTTCTTGCTCTGTGCCCGTTCAGGTCTTGGGGTTTAAATATTTCCTTTCACTAACATATATTTGTTTTTGTTTGTTTGTTTGTTTTATTTTTTTGTTTTTTTTTTTTAAGCTTTCAGGCTTTCTCACCAAAGCAAGCACCAAACTTCTGCAGGCTTTTAGATTTTTCTTCCTCTATTTTATGAGAACTTGCCTCTTTTTTTTTTTTTTTTTTAAGATACTTTTTTGGCAGGCAGCAAAACTTTGTGCTTTGTAGATTGCCTAAGTTAGGGTCCCTTGGCAGTGTTACAAGACAAGAAGATGTTTATAGCTGATGGTAATTACTCTTCCTGCAGTAGAAATGCTTTAGAAGCCCCACTAAACATTCATGTCTTAATTGCAGAGGGTTTATTTGAAGGGGAAAAAAAAAAAATCCCACAACTCTTTTCTCTCTCTCTCTCTTTCCCCTTGCTCCTTAATATAATTTGAGGGAAGGAAGTTTCTGAAGTATGTGAAAGTTTCTGCACTCAGATATAAAATCCTGATTTTTTTTTCCCCTGCCTTTATTCGTTTGCTGAAGAAAGTTTCAAACATTAACTTGATCAAAGATATTAAATCTTGGCCAAAAAGCAGATTATCTGCTGTTTGAATAGGGGGGAAATAGAACCTGAACACACACAAAGCTCTGCCTGTTTTAGTGTGAGCAACAGAGGGAAATGGGTATAAAACCCTACAGGGCTCTTCCAATCCTTTTGGCCGTTTGGAAGTAATAAAAGGTGGATATAGGGAAGAGGAAAAGGTTTGCATGATGCTTTTAGATGGCTTCCACCTGCCTTCCCTACCCCAAAAAACCCACAGCAAACAGCGGCCCAGCTTCCCTGCTGTTGTTGTTCCCGATGCAAATGGGATGAGCTTGTGGCCGGGATTGGCTGCAGGAAGAACATGCAAATCACTTGGGTCTTGATTAGAAAAAAAAAAAAAATTATCTCTTTTTTTCACCCCTATCTAGTCTGGAAAGAGTTAAAATTCCCGTGCAAAAAGGTGTAAGAGCTGAGGGGGTGTCCATCTGAATTTGAATAGATATTCTCCCTTCTTTCACTGGCGTGTCCTTGGCCTCTTTTTTAAGGAGGAGATGAGCAATCCAGTGTGAAGTTGACCATTGCCACCTTTTCTTTCAGCCGTGCCCGAAGGAGAAAGTGGCCCCGGGTGTGGTGGCAGCCATCACTTCAAGGGTAAATGACAAATTTGTTGGCCTTGATAAGGATGGGAGGAGAAAATTCAGGAGCTTGGTGGGGAAGGACTCTTTGGGGACGACACTTTGGAGCAAAGCAGCTTCTCGGTGGCTTGTGGGGGGTGTGAGCACGTGAGAGAAAACAGGGAGAACGGTGGGCAAATAGGGGATTGGATGGAGTGGGGAAAACAAGCTGAGTTTGATGGGCCATCTTGAGGGACAAGGAAAGGATTTGGGAGAGGAGGGGAGAGCTGGGAGGGGTCCCCTGCCAATCCAAGTGTGGTGGAGGACGGTGTCCAAGGGAGGCCACCCCAGCAGGTTTGGGAAGCTCAGGGGAGAGGCCCGTTGGGGTGGAGGGGGCTCTCTGTGGTGACTTGACCCCTTATCCTGTAGGCTGAAGGGTGGGGACACAACAGCAAATTGGGGAGGGGGGGGTAAGGAGTGAGGGGGATGCAAAGAGCAACAGGAGGGAGAGTGCATCCTCGGAGCTGATGAATATTCTAGTGCCTGTATGTTGAGGAATCAGAAATTTGAAAGTCTGATGGTTTATTATAATTACACATTCATTTGTGCTCTTTGGTGGAAGCCACATGTGCCTGTTGCCTGGGACTGTGACCTGTTATTAAAATCAGTTGTGCCTCCTTTTGCAGAGATCAAGATGAGCGGGGATGCGGCAGATTCCACAGACACCCGGCACGAACCGGACCAGGTGGAGCCAGGTAGGGATGGTCTGGGATGCGAGGGACACGGGCAGGGGAGGGGGAAGCAAAGGGAAGCAAAGGGGAGTGTGGGTGCTGGAAGTTTCTGCTTTGCTCGGCTCCTGTTGCTGCTCCACCGAGCTCTTCCAGCCAGCCCGGGAGTCGATCAGGAATGCGCTCTGGGCTAGGATTGCGCTGCTATCTTGATCAGCATGCAAGATCCTCTCCCTTAATGCCCTCTGTGGCTTCAGCAGGGAAATGTGCTCAGGCCTTGCCAAAGGAATAGTGGCACTGGAATGGTCTGGGTCCCGCTCAGTGTCCATCGCACAGGGAATCAGGGAATCCTGGCAGGGACGTTTCCTCAGGCAAAATTAAGCCCTTTTTTTTATTTTTTTTTTTTTTTTTTCTGGTATGTGTGTAGAGAAAAATGGGAGGGACTTCAGGATTAATCAAATCCAGTTAGGTAGTTCCAGGAAAAAAAAAAGCACGCATTGCTCTGCATCTTGAGGCACGATTGGGTTGTCACCTCCTCTGACGCCTCGCTGCTCAGTGGCTGGAAGAAGCCTCAGGATTCCTTGAACAGGGAAAGCTGAGGAAGAGGGTGATGTTTTAAAGGGGATAGCACTGATTTCTGCCAGGTTACCAACCCAGAGCTGTGAGAGGCACCAGAAAAAGAAACACATTTCTGCCATCAATTCTCCCTCCCACTGCCTGCAGTGAGCTCGGAATGCAAGACTTGAACCCGGAATGTCACAAATTTAGTAGTCACGTCCCTTTTCAGGCAGAAAAGCAGCAATAAGAAATAATTTTAGCAGCCACCAGGTATAGCAAATCAAGATTATTAAAAGCTGTGCTGTAAACTTAAAAATTAAACCTTTTAAACCCAAAACTGGTAGAGAAAATGTAGAAGAATCAATTATCCCCTAGCCCTAAGCTTGGGGCAGGGGGATGTGTAAGAGCAGGTTACAACTTTAAATGGAATGATTTTACTGTTTCTCTTTCATTTATATAATTTGAGATAACTTGGGAAAAAAAATGAGATTTTGGTTAATCCAGAGAATTTTAAGCATGTTTTAAAGGGACTAAACACATCCTTTTATTTAGAAATCCTCAATGTGCTCTTGGCTATTTAGCTGGGTTATTTGACATAATCTAAGGCAGAGATAAAATCTTGTTCTATTCACGTCCATGAACTCTGATTGACTTTGGTCAGCTCAGCTTCTGCTCGGGGCTCTCAGATCACCCCGAGTTGGTTTTTGAGATCAATATTTCCAAGCTGCTGAGCAACAAACACATCCCAAACCTCCCAGGCTCTTCCAAAAAAAAAAAACCCAAACAACTCTGGTGGCTGTTACAGGGCCTTAAATCAGGAGCTGAAGCCTCCTGAAATGTTTGGCACACAGAGTTGATGGATAGCAGGGTTAATCAAGATTAGGGAAGCCGGGTATTTGATTCTGGTTATTAAATGGAGTGGGATGCTCTGGCTGCTGCTGCTCTTGGAGTCAGCAGTGTTAAAGCAGAAGGTGGCAGCGCATTTGGTTGGATAAAATATGGAGTTTTTTTCAGCCTAAGCTCCCCAGACAGCCATTAGCGTGAGCTGCAGCCCCTCTTTCGAGTGGTAATTGAGGAAAAGAAAGCGCAGAAGTGAAGTCAATTTGTTTTAAAATAACGAAAGCCTTCGCAGCAGCATTAGCTGCGCTCTAGGAGCCTTCAAACCGAGCAGGGAAATCAGAAACGAGTAAATCACCTTCATTTGCAAAGAGTGGCCCAAAGAAACCTGCTGAAATCTTGCTCTTTGGTGATCTGCTGGGTTTCTCCAGAGATCACCGAGTTGGCTGCCAGGAGACACAGCAGAGGGTCGGGAGCTGCTTTGTGGGGGTGTCCAACAACAGCCACGACCCCCTCCTGGGGGTGTCCCCCTTTGTGACCCCTCGTGGGACCCTCCCAGGGTGGGGCTGCCTGACGCTTCAACCCAAAAACCTCCTCGTGGCGTTTCCCCCCCTCCCCTCTTCTTTCAGACCATTCTGTTTATAAACAACAAAAGCTCTTTGTACTGAACTTCCCTGGAAGTTTTTATTTTCCCATGTGCACAGCAGTATTTACTGCAGCAGCACCTAATGGTTTAGTGTTTTGGTTGCCGGCTTCATGTGGGGAAAAGCTGTTTTCTGATGACTCATTAATTGAAGACCCATTTCCTACTGAATTAGACCAATCCACACAACTCCCCGGGAATCTTGTTACCCCCAAAGGAGAGGCCTGTTCCCAAACTAACAATAGTATACCTTACAAAGACTAGAAACCCTTCGAGGTGCAGATATCCACAGGCCTTTCATCACCAAGAGCTGCAGACTGGCTCCAAGAAGAATTAAATATATATATATATTATATATATATATATATATATATATATATAAAATCCTGGAGGGAGTTGGGTGCCAAAATGCTTTTGTAAACCAAGCCCTTGATCTAAACCTGATGCCCAAAGATCTGATGGGAAGTGTCAGGAGCAGAAGCATAATCTCATCCTTTCATATCTCCGCCAATTCCAGGCTTAGAGGGGGGGAAAAAAAAGGGTAATTTGGGGCATTGTTTCACTTTGAAAGTGTTTTGAAATAATTGTGGGGGGTTTTCTTTTTTGAGAAAATGGTTAAAATTGTTCTTCTTCCGTAGGAGGTTTGGAAAGATCAGGCTTTTTATTTCTTTTTTTTTTTTTTTTTAATTCAGCCCAATTTCATAGAAAATGCTTCAAAGCTTTTGAGTAAGGTATTCTCCCAAAACCCAGGTTGGTTCCATTCCAGCCTCTCTGAGTGTACTGGTTGTAATGGAATTTTGCCATTTAAAAAGAAAAAAAGGGAGAAAAAAAATAAGGAATATCACCAACCCTTCTCAACCCTGTGCATCTTAATCCTTCATTTACTTCCACTCTGCCCTTTTTTATCGCGTGTGTGAGGGGGGGAAAGGGCAACAGGCACCAGTTTCTCCCAGGGGGGCAGCGGGTTGGATGTTTCTCCATCATCCAGGAGCTTTGGGGGTCACTCCCAGCCTGACCCCTCCAGTCTGGGGGTCCCCCTTTCCCTTTCCCTGCGTGATTCCAGCCTGGTTTAACTCGTGGCTTGAGCTCCCAGGCAGTCAGTCCCGCTGACTCCATGGGGGGTAATGACAAGCAGCGAGTTTTCTGCTTGGCTCCGAGCTCTTTTCATCTCTTTAAACTGATGAAAGCCATGCCAGCAGAGCTCTGGGTTGATTTTTTTGATGGGAACTGTGGGGGCTTGGCACTGCCGAGTGTCGCCCCTGGTCTTGCAGCCCAGGGGCAGAGAGAGATCTCCCCCTTCTTGTGGTTTATCTGAGCCCTCGGTATCTGATGCAACAAAACGCTGAGGTGGGACTTGCCCCTGTCTGTCTGTTTGTTTGTGTCAGACACTTGTTCCCCCGTTTATCTGCTCGATCAAAACAGGTTACACCAAGCCGAGCTACTTCCCTTTGATTTCATCTGTTGAGGCTATGGGGGGGAAGCCAAGGCTTTTACAAAAAGGGCGATAGGGAAGCTCTTCAAACACAACCATCGGTAACTGAATAGCTGCGGGCGCTGCCGAGCATCTTCCCTCCCCACCCTGCATCCCGGGGAACTGCCCGGCCTGCCAGGAGCCCCGGGAGGGGCGTGCTGGGCACCCCAGCACAGGGAGCAGAGCCGGGCTGTGCGTGTGTGGGTGCGGTGTGGGACAGCCCTGCAGCCTCCTCGCTGCCTTGGCAGGGCTGGGATTGCTCCCCAGGACAAGGGGGGTTGGGGGTGCCAGTCAGGTCTGGCAGCTGGAGGGGCAGGAGGTGGGGAGAGGGGTGTGGCTGGATGGGGAGGGCACATGGAGCTGGGACACGGGGCTCTGGTGGCAGTGGGAGCAGGGTATGTCACCCTCACAGCCTGGGTGACCTCTGAGTGATTTGGAATATCCTGAGTTGGAAGGGACCCACAAGGATCCTCCAGCCCAACCCCTGGCCCTGCACAGACACCCCAACTATCCCACCCTGTCCCTGAGAGCGTTTCCAAACCCTCCTGGAGCTCTGGCAGCCTTGGGGCTGTGCCCACTGCCCTGGGGAGCCTGTTCAGTGCCAACCACCCTCTGGGGGAAGAACCTTTCCTGAGATCCACCCTGACCCTGCCCTGACACAGCTACAGCCATTCCTGAGTCCTGTCCCTGCTCACACTAAACAGAGATCATGAGGAAGCTGTAACAGCCATGGGGTCTCCCCTGCAGAGAGCAATAAAGCAGGTTCTCTTCTCTGCAGAGTAAGAAAGACCCTTTCTTTTAAACCTCAAGAAAATCAAGTGCTTAAGGGCTCTGATGCTTCTGCTTCCAAGTGTCCCTTTTGAGGAGACCCTGCTGAGAGTGTCAGTCTTCCCTTGCATCCTCATCTTCATCCAACCTGTGCCTGTGCAAGGATGGCAGCACCAAACACCTCTGCTGCTGGCACGGGATATCTGAGGGCCCCTGGCAGTGGAGCAGAGAGCAAGGGCAGCTCTGAAACTGGACACCAAAACTCCCACCAGAGCCAAATCCCCTCCCAGTACCCATTTTGCATGAAATCCACGTCGGGGCAGATGGAAGATCAGAGCCCTTGCCTCAGTCTGCCACTCCATGGTGCGGGCTCAGTTAAGTGTCTTCATTCCTCAGCTCCAAAGGGAGGGTCCCGGTCTCTTTTCCCACCTTTTTGACAGGGTGGAAGCCAGGGATGGGCAGAACAGAGTCCTGATCTCTGCTGGGCTCTGGGAAAGCTGCTGGTTCTTGTATTCCCACCTCAGCTGTTGGGGTAGGGTCTCTTTTCAAGGTGATGGCTCATCCTGGAAGAGGGAATGGAGGTTCTGGTCTTTGTGTCAGCTTCCAGCTGAGGTGAAAGGCAAGGGATGGCAGATGGAGCACCCACCAGCTCATCTCAGTGACACCCTCAGCATCCAAGCAAAGGGCTTGCACCACCCGAGCTTCTTCTTTTCGCTGTTACCAGGCTTGGAAACACCTTGCCAGGCCGAA